TACGTCCTACGCACCGGCGACCGCGCGGGTGAGCAGTGCGGGGGTGCGCACTCCACCCAGCGCTGCTTTGGCCGCCTGACGGACGCTTGGTGTCACCAGTTCCCTGAGGCCACTGAGATCCCTCGCTGGGGCGAGCTGTCTAGGGCGGGTGTAGCTGTCTTTGACCTTGACTTTGATGCTATTCTTGCTGCCATGTATGCTGTGACTTTTAGTGATGAGGGTGACTGTTACCGGTGTTTTCCGCCCGACCCGGGCATTGAGACTGCTGCTCTAGGTACTGGTGAGGCTGCTGCTCTAGGTGCTAGCGAGGCTGCTGCTCTAGGTGCTCGTGCGTCTGCTCCCTCAGGTGCTGGTGAGTCTGCTCTCTCAGGTACTGCGTCGGCTTCGGCCTCCCACACCTTCACCCTTGACTCGGGGGCTTCTCGCTCCTTCTTTCGAGACCGCACCACACTCACGCCGCTTGGCCGGCCAGTTGCAGTCTCTCTGGCAGACCCCTCTGGGGGTCCTGTCCTTGCTCACTTCTCCACTGTCCTCCCGTGTCCGGCGGCCCCCTCTGGCACCCTGTCTGGTCTTTACCTCCCCTCGTTCTCTACGAACTTGGTGAGTGGTGCTGACCTACAGGATGCGGGGGTTCACCAGTTCACTCCTGCGAGTCAGCGGGTGACCCACTGCACGGACGCTCGGACAGGCCGACACCTGGCCACGTTTACACGTCGGCCGGGGTCGAGCCTGTACACACTGACCACTGCGTCTCCTCCAGTCACTGCGTCTGGTCAGGTCGCTGCGTCAGGTCAGGTGTTTGCTGCAGCGTCCAGGTCTGGTCCTGAGTCTGCCCCCTGTTCGTGTCGCCTTCTGTCTCACGAGACTCTCCTCTGGCACCACCGCCTTGGTCACCCCTCCCTGCTTCGTCTCCGAGGCATGGCCTCCCGTGTCCATGTCTCTGGTCTTCCCCGGTCCCTCCCTCCCCTTCCTCCGGGGCCTGGCCCTACCTGCGTCCCCTGTGTCGAGGGGCGGCAGCGGGCTGCCCCTCACTCCTCCCAGTTTCCTCCGACAGAGGCCCCGCTGCAGACGCTTCACATGGACGTGTGGGGCCCGGCCCGCGTCCGTGGACAGGGTCACAAGCGCTACTTCCTGCTGGTGGTTGACGACTACTCGCGTTACACCACCTTCAGCCTTGGTTCTGGCTCTGTTTCGTGGCGGGCTATCCGCTCGTCTTCTGTTCTCGGCTCCAGTTGTGAGGCTGAGATCTACGCCGGTGCCATGGCTGCACAGGAGCTTCGCTGGCTCACCTACCTGTTGACTGACCTCGGAGAGCCGCCTCGTTCTCCTCCAGTGCTGTACGTAGACAACAAGGCCATGCTGGCCTTGTGTCGAGAGCAGAGACTGGAGCACAGAACGAAGCACATTGCTCTCCGCTACTTCCTTGCTCGTGAGCTATAGCAGCGTGGTCAGCTGCGGCTTGCGTACGTGGCCTCTGAGGCCAACACTGCTGATATCTTCACCAAGGCACTCCCGCCTTGTGATCATCAACGCTTCTGTACTCAGCTGGGTCTTGTGCCTACCTTGCCTCACTTGCTCACCCCTTGACCTTGTTTGTACTGTTGCATATATATATGCACCTGCTCTTGCTTGTCTAGCCTTATATATATATGCAATCCTGCATGTGAACTGGCCTTGTGGCCTTGAACTTGTGCTCGGAATGTGTGGTGACTTTGTGATCCACCCTGAGCTTGCTTTGCTTTGCTTGACTGGTCTTGTGACCCCTTGTTCTCCCCCACTTTGCCTATGGGGTTGTGTCAGATTTATATGACATAGCTACTGTAGGCTATAGTGGGGTAGCACATATGGGGTACAGTTTTCTAGGGTTTGCTTTTGTACCCAACTTTCCCTTAGTCAATCCATTCCTCGTTATTTCACACAGTGGTCCCTACGCAGAGCTGGTGGGCTGCCTCATGTACCTGATGACTTGTACTCGGCCGGACCTCGCCTTTTCCCTCAGCATACTTTCTCGCTTTGTTGCGACTGGGAGACACCGTCCTGTCCACTGGGCAGCTGCTGTGAGGGTGGCGAAGTACCTGGCGACTACGTCAGGCATGGGGCTAACACTTGGAGGGACTCAGCCAGTGGCGTTGACTGGTCACTGCGACTCTTCCTACGCTGACGACGTGGAGACTCAGCGCTCGACTCAGGGTTACTGCTTCAATCTGGGAGCTGGTGCTGTGTCGTGGAGATCTACACGGTCGTCGTCTGTGGCTACTTCCAGTGCAGAGGCAGAGATCTACGCTGGTGCCATGGCGGCACAGGAGCTTCGCTGGCTGACCTTCTTGCTCGCCGACCTTGGTGAGAGGCCTCGCTCTGCACAGACCTTGTACGCTGACAACAAGGCCATGATCCTCCTCTGTCGAGAGCCTCGACTGCAGAGCAGGGTGAAGCATATTGACGTGAGGTTCTTCCTCCTGCGAGAGCTGCAGCGACGTGGCCAGGCACGCCTGGACTTTGTGGCCTCAGAGGCCAACACTGCAGACGTCTTCACCAAGGCCCTAGCGCTTGGTGACCACCACATGTTCTGTGTGCAGTTGGGGCTTGTTGAGGTAGGCCCTCGGTTGCTGTAGTCTTGTTGCTTGCTCTGCTTGTTGTGCTTTCCTATATATATCCTAGTGAACTCTTGAACTGGCCTTGTGGCCGCTTGCTTGCGCTCGGAATTTGTGTGGTGTCCTTGAGATCCACCCTGAGCTTGTTTTGCTTCTTGCTGACTGGTCTTGTGACCGTTTGTTCACCCTGCTTGTTCTAGTGCCCCTCACTTAGCCTATGGGGGTGTGTCAAATGTTGATATGTGTGATAGGCTCTAGTGAGTTGCACCTTAGAGAGTTGCCTATTTGTACTGCCTTGTTTCCTAAACTCATCATTCCGTTGCATTCACTTTCTGAGAGTTTGTTTGTTTGTTTGTTTGTTTGTTTGTTTGTTTGTTTGCTTGTTTGTTTGTTTGCTTGTTTGTTTGCTTGCTTGCTTGCTTGCTTGCTTGCTTGCTTGTTTGTTTGTTTGTTTGTTTGTTTGTTTGTTTTTAATATATACATATTTATTTACTTTTTTGCCACTGCGTGACTGATGAATTCAAGTTTGACCATTGGCGAGAGTGATGTCATCTGGAAAATGCTTGAGTATGGGATCTTTCGCACCGTCTCCTATATTCGAGGACAAACTGCGAGGTACAACCAGGGATATAGAGAACAAAGTAATCATTCATTCTATGATTCCTTTAAACCATATCAGTACAATATGTTTCAAGACTGCTACCATATATCAGTTGCCTGATTGTGCAATGCTCCTTTCCCTTGGGCAGCATCTAGATGGCGGGAATCACTGGACAGCTGACGTGTTCAGTAAACATGTTGTCACGTCAGCATGCCAACTACGTGTTGATCAGGCTCTTGACTTGCTAGTCAAGCCCATCTTGAAAACCGCATGCTTTCTAGATTTTCACTGTACAGCAGGTATTCAACATTGTTTTGTGCATTGTTTTAGATTGTTCTGCTCTACGTCTCTCGGGCATTCGAACTCTGAAACGGCAGATCGTTTTTAGTACCATAATCTGACGAACTGTATGAACAGATATCAAGGGATGCTACCCATGTCGTCACGGGCAAATGTGGGACTCTAAATGGGAAAGTGAGAATGCTTTTGTAACTTGGTCATCATATCTGAACGCGACGAACAAATCTTGTTGTTTATCTACCGTAGATTTCGGCTTCCGCAACGTGGCGACTGTACCCCTTGGGATAGTTCCCGTAAAAACATTCGTGAGTAGTAATTCATTGCACAAAGCATTGTTTGTAGGATAATTTGAGTATCGACTGTACCCTAGGTCGATTTTCTGTAGAAGCACCTGTGGGAAATCTTGAGGCTGATGGGGTCAGGCGTGTTCGCATTTACACGGTTTCGAGACTCCCTGGGGATTTTTGAGAGCGCTTCGAGTCTTCCCCCAGGTTTGGCCTTCGGGACCCCCGACCCGAATGCTCTTCACCGGCCCCTACTATACTTGGCTCTCACTCACCCCAGCAGCAGCGACTTGGCTGTGCTTTCCCTCGTTCTTCTCCTTACCGCATTTCACGTTTCCCCCTCCGCACTCCCTCGTATGTTGAGGGAACCGGCGGACTGCGCGACTTTCCCCGCTGACGAGGTGGTCGAGTTCGAGTCGGCCATTCTGCCACGCTCTTGGTGGACCAAAGCAACCCCTCAAAGCTGGCTCCGCGCAGGGACGCAATGCTATTGGACGGATTTGGTTGTTTTTGTGTTTTCCTGCTTATCTGCAACAGGGTGGAATCCCGACCAAAGTGACTATTGAGAGGGTACAAGAGACAAGGTCGAAGTGGAATGGATTAAGAGCTGTAATTCAGAAGTTGTCACCCACAAAACTCGTTCGTATCCATGACACTCACAACTGAACCAGCAGCAGGCAAAAAACGCATGGAGAAATTCAAAATTGAATGAAAGTGTCTGCACTGAGGATGTGATGGGCCCCAATCAACTATTTCGTTCCGAGCGTCTGACGTTGTTGAGTACGGTCGATCACGTTTGAGCACGGTTTCTGGCTGTTGCGGCTTTGGCCATTGCGTTTCCAGGATGAACATCTGTCGGCACGGTTTAGGGTTTAGGGAGTGCGCCCCACAGGTTTGGGGCAACTTTTCAAATTTCAAAAGATTTTGAACCCCTCCTTTCAAATGTATACCGGAGCTTTAAAACGAACCCGGAACAAACAGTATGACCCGCCCTCATTCTTTCAGAAAGATTCTCGGACTCCCTTGAAGTGCGACTGTATACCTTCCATCCCTCCACACCGCACCAGACCAAAGGCGCGCTTTCCTTCGCAATCTGTGTTCCCCACGCCAACAGGTACACAATCATTCTGTCACTCGAGTGTTTCCAATCCACCAAGAAAGCTGTTCTTTCTGCTCTCCTGCGTTTCCTCCAACCTCTACTGGGTGCTCCACATTCGCCATTCCATGGCTCACACCACGCCCATGCGCCGCCCTTCCCGTCGCCTGTCACTCCTCATCGCCCTCCTCCTCGCCGCCTCGCCCGGCTTCACAGCTCAGAACATAACATCCCCAGACGCGCCGGTTAACGCCCTCGCCCCTGTCGCTGATGCCCGCCCCGTGAGTGCGAGCGCGGCGGGCACGATGGGCGACGAGGAGGGGTTCTACATGGAGGAGACTCCGGCGATCAAGCAGCTGGTGGCGCGCCTGGAGCGCATCGCGGGCTCCATCAAGAACCCCTGGGAGGTGCTGCTGCACCTCAACGAGCTCTTTGCCACCAGCCCCACTGGCGGCGGCGGCAGCGCAACGATGGGCGCGGGCACGGTGTCGCCTCTGGCAGATGGATGCCCCGCCACGGCGGCGCAGATGACCAAGGAGGTGTCGCGGCTGGCGTGGAGGCTGCATTTCCGCCCCATCAAGTACACCATCATGGCGCGCTTCTTCAGGAACCTCGCCAACAACGCCAGTGAGTTGCAAGGGTTGTCGCAGCGTTCGCATACTACTATGTTCAAGCAGTTTATTTTGCCGTACCATCCCTTGCTTCTTAATGAAGTCCCCGGCCGTTGACAAGGACCGCAACCTCGTGTGTGTGCGCAGAGAAGAACAACGCGGACCTGACGTACCTGGGGTGCCGCACGTACTTCATCCCGTCCAACTTCGCGCTGATGAACGTCATCGCCAAGGGCGCGGGCGACATCAGGTACCTGCTGCTGGCGCCGCTGTACAACATCATCAACGGCACGTACCACTTCGACAAGCTGCGCCGCCTGCCGCACGGCACCACCATGCCGACGTTCATCCCCGACTACCCCATCGCCAAGTACTTCACGCCCATCACGCCGCTCGCGCTCATCACCTTCGGCGGCTCCATCGTCGCCGTCGGCACGCCCGGCGCCAAGACGATCCTCGCGCGCCTTGCGTGGGCGCAGATTAAGGACCGCGACATCCACTGCGGGAAATACCTGGCGGCGCACGGCGTGAGCACCATGGTCATCCCGCGCGTCAAGCTGAACAACTGACCCTTGCTGCGCCCGCCCGTGTCTCTAGTTCACTGATGACGCGGCCACGCGCGCACTGCGTGCTCACCTTGTGGCAGGTGGCTTGCATTCGACTGAGATGTAATGTAAAATGTCTTGGTGGTTGAGGTTTAAGGGGGGGGCGATGTGGCCTGTGGGGGTTGAGAGGGTGGTGTGTGTGGAGTTCCCAGGTGTGTTTTTCAACCTACTCTTGAGGTTCCTCAAACATTGATGACTCAGTGCTTGAGGCTCCTCAAGAGCGGGCTAGGGGTTAGGGCACTGGAAGTATTTCGCCAGTTTGGCCTCGTGTGGCGTGGTTACTGCTTTTTAGAAGTGATTGACTTCTGAGTTTTGGAAGTTGCTCCCTGTGCTACTGTATTTGCTCCCAATCTTTGCAACCGCGGCGGAGCCGGGCAAGCCAACTCTTGGCAACCCATTTAGCGTATGATAATCCAGGACGCCCATTAGAGTGTTTAGTATGATAATCAGCTCTGGATGGGATGGGATGGGACCTGCACCTGGGCCCTGTGGTCAAGTGTGAAAGCAACTAAGATTTGTCAGCATAAAGAAAAAGATGAACGACAGCAGCTGTTTCCTTCAACTCTAAGAATATGTACCAAATCTGAGGGGGAGCCCCGAAGTTCACATTCTATTCAGTTCAAGCTGTTGGGTACTATGATAGATGTGCACTCCGGAACGGTTTTCTCTCGTCACCTCGTTGAACTGTTACCGTGCTCACCAGCCGCAACATTCAAGCATTAACTGTATGTGTACCTTCGGGACAAGTGGTGAGAGTCAGCCAGGTACAGGACCAATCTGAGGTACTTGTGCACGGCTTCACGTCTCTGTGAGCTGCAGCGCATCCAAGTAGAGCCCACTCTTCCACCACCCACTCTCCGTCTCCCACAGCCGCATACTCAGCGCGGGAGCCACTGCCGTCTCCCGTGCGGTTTCCCCCCTAATGGTCACACGGCCTGCAGGCAGGGTGGTCCAGTCAGGCAGCATGGCGATGCTGGCAGCGGAGATTTGTAGCTGCCTCTGCTCGCCCCCCCCTCCCCCAGCACACCCCTCCTCCCTCACGTTGCTCCACACGGGTTGCCCCACCCACTTGAACCAGCACTGCTTCTCCACGCGCCTCCATGCCTCCCTCCTCCGCTCCCAGTCCTGCTGCTGCTCTCTGCTGTGCTGGCCCTGGTTCTCAGAGCGCCGTGCCTGCACGCCGTGCCCGCGCCATATCAGCCGGCGCACGGCCCCCACCATGTGCTGGAACGGGGTTGCTGCACCGCCAACACCCGCTTGCGAAACATTTGCTGCTTCAAGCGTCCTCCCCAAACCTGGTGCCTGCTCTCCGTCTTGCACCCCTCCCCCCCCGCCCTCCAACTCCACCTCGCCATCCTCGTCCTCCTCTTCGCTCTCCTCGTCATCCTCCTCGCTCTCGTCCCCACCTGCGTCCAGCAGTCCCACACGCCTCGGCTGCTCGCCTGCTGCCCGTGCGTACTCGTCGTGCGTCGGGTCGCGTGCGACACGCCATGCCACGTCGTACACCCCGCAGCGCAGGGGGAACGGCAGCGCGACGTGCGCGCTGGCCTCGAGCCAGCACACCGTCAGCAGGTGCGGCACCTCGGGGAACACCGCGCCAGTGGTACTCCGCGTCTCCATGTGCCAGTAGCGAGGGTCGTCCATCCACGTAATCGCGCACGCCTTCGCTATACTCACGCTCACAGTGAGCTTGGCGGTATTGGGGTCCATGCGCGCGTGAAACACCCCCCCGTGCAGCAGCACGCCCCCGCACAGCTCGCGGCACCACGCGCGCGGGTGAGGGTGGCGGGAGGCGAGCGGCAGCGCGGTGAAGCACGCGTGCTGGCAGAGGGCGGGCAGCACGCGCATCCACGCCACGGGGGACGCCGCAGCAGCGCGCCAAGCCGAGCAGACGAATGCACATCGGGCGATGAGAGCGGGAGGTAGGAAGGAGAGGACGCACGCGAGGCAGTCGTCAGGCAGGTCCGTCACTCTCGTTGCGGCCGTCATTCTCTTAGTGGGATGAAACTCGACGAATCGTACCGCGCCTGCTGCCTAGCTTCGCGTTACTAATTGCATATGAATGTGGGGTAATGTCTGACTCTGTCGAACATTCAACACAGTATGGCAGAAAAGCGTGATCCGTGAGACTCCTGACAGAAACTCTGTGGATGACGTGTTGGACACTCAGCTTCAGAAGTCATGGCCCTGATCGGTAGCCACTAAGCGGAGTAAGCTCTGGTCGCGTTGGCACACAGGTGTGGGCACGTGTACGTGGGTGCTTCCCTTCTCCTCCTGTAAGTTTCCCAACTCCGAGGGGTGATCGGCACGCCCTCGAAACTCCGCTTAGGGAAGTTGCGAGGGTCGTGCGCGCGATTTCCCTCAACGCACTGTTGCGTTCGGCCCAGACTGCCCCACTCGTGACCAAGAAAACGAATTCCCACAAAAGGGTAACTTGTCCAAAAAATGACACCATAAAGAACCACTGGGAGTTGGGGGAATGGAAAGTTTTGAAGGTGTTTAAGAGCATCCCCGAAAACAAAATATAAAATCTGCGGTTTTGTTGGGTTCACCCTTCGAGGCCTTACTCCGCTTAGCCCGAGGCCTACTCCGCCAAAATGCTGGAGTAAGCGGAGTTCCGCCGCGGAACTAAGTTTGCCCGTGAAGGAACCTTCCTGAATGGCCACTTCGAGTCGTACTCCGAGTAGGGTGTTCGGGCGATCGTTTGCCCATTCTGACTTACTCGGAGTAAGCCACGTCGGATTGAGTAAACTTCTGTCACACGTGCAAAGCGGAGTTAGTGAGCTCCCTCGAAGCTCACTTACTCCGCTTAGGGGGTGCTACCGATCAGGCGCGTGGGCACGTGTCGGCGAGGAATAGCACGTCTATGGATGAGCTCCATGTTGTGCTTTGCTGTCGCACTCAGTGATTGTGTGGCAATGACTCTCTACGGTTGTGTGTCTCAGTTTCACAGGTTGCTTAGGCCTAATTTGTGCTTCATGCCAAGTCCCTTCCTGTTAGGCTGGGCTGCTCATACCTGTAACCATGTACTGTCAACTCTGAGCAGAAGCTGCACTTCGAATGTCTGTCCCTCCTCCCACAATACCTTGCACCCCGTGGATGTGTGTGCCATGGCACACAGGGGTTTAACAGGGGTTTTAAAATGAATACACAATTATCCATCCAATGCATCAACATAAACGGTCTTAATTCAGTCGATAAAATGGATGAGCTGAAAGGATGGTTAGTCAACCCCCCCGATATTCTTGTGCTTATTGACACACGCCTTTCCACTAATTTCATGAAGTTACGCTATAAACTCAAACCTACGGCATACGCGCAAGTTCCACCAATTGCTACGCCATCTCAAACCTTTCCCGGAGGTATAGCCATACTTGTGTTCAATCGTCGAGTTAAGCTTTCAGATAAGCTTGCATCTGCGGATGGACGAATCCTTAGTGTCCATTGCAATTTTTTGAATGAACAATTTCGTCTCATTGCCATCTACACCCCCTCGTACTATCTCGAACGGAAAAGCTGGTGGACGGAAGCTGTTGAACCTGTGATGCAAAAATCGACCTCGAGTGACTGGACACTCTTAACTGGAGATTTCAATAATGTCCTTACCCTCTTGACCGGAACCGGCCCCTGCGCGCATACGAAAACACAGAAGCAACACTCGTCAGTAACTTATTAGAAGCTGCGGAGCTCACAGATACATTCCGGCTACTACACCCCACCTCCCCAACCTACTCCTTTATTGCTCCAGTTCGACAGAATCCTCCTCGGTATAACCCCCCCCCTTTTGCTCCCACTCATGGCCAAACGCCCGCCCCACACACCTCCCAGGCCCAACCCCCCGCACCACCAACCCCTCCTCCACCCCCTGCCTCACGGCTGTACCGCTCTTACATCTCCAAGACGGTGGCCAGCAGACTCACTGCGGCCTCTTACACCTTCGTACAGGACACCCTTTCAGATCATGGGAGAGGTCCTCTGTGCTCTATCTCCTTCCACAACGCGAACGCCGCCCATAGACCATGGCGCCTGCCACAGCATCTTATCCATAAACCACATGTGCACTCTCTGGTCAAAGACTTTGTCACGTCACTACCCTCCCCCCTCCTCCCGACACAATGGGACGAATGCAAACACTCCTTGGTGCTTCAGCTCAAACGATATACACGAGAAGAGCGTATCCGTGTTAGCAAGACGTTCACCTACATGCAGGACGACATTTGTCAACAACTCCAACGTCTCCGTGCATACACGACCACGCGCGCCGCAGAAATCGCACTTAAAGCCAAACTAAAAGTTGAGGGACCCCGGGAAATGGGAGTTGCTTCCCTTATGGCCAGTCTCAACAAAAGAATCAAGGACTCACAGATTCCCTTTCTACAACTTCCGTCGGGAGAAAAAGTGGACACTCTGCTCCCCATGACCCAGCTCTGCACAACCTTTTTCTGCAACCTATACAGTGGAAGTACACCCATCTCCCCCTCCTCCACCTTCTGGCAACACATCTACCCATCCACACTTCCCCTCTCGCTCTGTGCAGACCTCTCGGCACCTATTGGCTCACCAGAAATCGAGCGTGCCGTCGCTGCTCTGGCCAAAGGGAAAACTCCTGGCACCGACGGCTTACCTGCCGAGCTTTTCCGCTCCCATAAAACCATGCTGGTCCCGGCCGTGCGGAAACTGTTTGACAGCATTCACGCCCACAATGCCATGCCACCAACCCTGTGCGAGGGTCGCACCATCCTCATCCCCAAGAAAGGGAACTCTGCCCTGGTAGAGAATCTCAGACCAATCACACTGATGAACACTGACTACAAAATTCTGGCTATCACCCTTGCTAATCGGCTTCAAACTGTTCTTCCCCGCATCATTCATCACTCACAAACCGCATTCATCAAAGGTCGACGGATCGGGGACACTATCAATGATACGCTAGATATTATCGACTGGGCCAAACATCAAGCTCTACCTCTGCTGGTCCTCACGGTCGACATTAAGAAAGCATACGACATGGTAGACAGAGAGTTCCTGTTCCGGTGCCTCGCACATCTTGGCATCCCCCCTGGGTTCATCACGTGGGTACGACGACTGCACGCTCACTCTCACACACATGTGTCGGTCAACAACTCGACTGGCCCCCGTTTTCACGTACGTACTGGGGTAAGGCAGGGATGTCCGCTGGCCCCGTTACTCTTTGTATGCGTTATTGAAGTTCTGCAACGACACCTCGCCGCAGCCTTGCCTGGCTTCGCAATTTCACCTTTACAACGCCGACTGATGGCCAGCTACGCAGATGACGTGTCGATTTTCCTTACCTCTGACCTCGAGCTCCAGACGGCCAAATCATGTCTTGAATCTTTCGCCCAATGCTCTGGGGAGCATCCCAATTGGAGTAAATGCGCAATTTTACCTTTCAACATGGACTCTCACACCATTTCCAACGCGGGACATATCCCTATCCGAAGGGCGAATGAAGCTGAAAGAATTCTGGGCGTCTACATACAACAAGATTCCCCAGGACAAACTACCTGGGATCACATCCTCTCAAGGGTACGCACCTCGGCGGACTCACTATCCCGGCTCCATGTCACGACAACCTGCAGGAGCTTGCTGGCTACAGAACGAATGGCCTCGCTCTTGTCAGAATCCCAACCACTAGACCATTGGGATAAAAGGGCTTGTTAAGTAGCGGGTCAATGCGCCCATAACCCCCCAGGACAACGAGCCTGTAACCCTTCCCTAGGATCAATCGGGGATCACCAGTGAACCTCTGACACCCCCCCGCACTGGGATGCCCGAAGTGCACACACTGGGATTCGAACCCGAGACCTTCGCTCTGATACCATGTCAGAATCCCAACCACTAGACCATTGGGATAAAAGGGCTTGTTAAGTAGCGGGTCAATGCGCCCATAACCCCCCAGGACAACGAGCCTGTAACCCTTCCCTAGGATCAATCGGGGATCACCAGTGGACCTCTGACAGCTCTATGCCTTCGGCGGCCGGTTTCAACCCTCCCCCCCTGACACCACCACCATCCTTGATCGAGTGGTCGGAACCTACCTGGCTTCCTCTAAATATAAAGAGGAAGGCCGGGCTCAAAGATACATTCCTAAAAGGATACTTTATAATAAAAAGAAGCATGGAGGTGTGGGGGCTCTAGAACCATCTAGCCACCTAAAAGCCCTCAACTTTCAACGAGCAGCTCGCCGTTTCTTACTCACGCCATTTGAAGACACGGCCCGGGAATGCGCCCCCCTGCCCTACGGCCTCCATTGTTATCTGTCCCATCCGGACATTCTCAAACACTTACCAGCCTCCACTCCCCCCCGAGCCCTTGCTGAACTAAAGAGTGTTTTGGAAACACCATCCAAGGTGGCCGGCCCGCGGTTAGAACCATGGGTCCTGATGGCTGAGCCGGTTGCTTTCAACAAATTCATTCACAAACCTGACAAAAAACCGTTCGGCAGAGTAAAGGAAGAGTTCTTCATGCTCGAGAAACAAGTTCGCCTCGGAAAACTTCTGGTCCCGGTTCCCGGAGGGTCTCGGAAACTGACGCCTGCGGAATTTCGCACCCAATACCCGCCCAGAGACTTCCCACGTGGTCTAAGGATACTCCTGGAAATATATAAAGCCGTACCTGATGAATGGTGGGAAGTGCTTCAAGACTTCACCCCACGTCCTGATTACCTTCGGAAAGACGACTGGGCTTTCGAAGCCTCCCGGAAGACTGGCCGGCCGCAGGTGCTACGGGTTACTCAGGTCCTGGACTACGGGCTCGTGAACTTCGACTGTTACGAGGTGACTCAGGGGCGACGCGTGAACAAGACACCATTCGGACGTACTACCTTGGCTGCTGCAGACGTCATCACGGTGTGTGTGATTGAGAGCTGGCTGGCGGGTCCTTTCTGCTCAGGAGCCGCGCTCGGAGTACGACACGAGATACTACGCCAACGACCATCGCTAGCTACGATTCGGAAACATCTCTACACA